CCCATGCCCAGATCACCGAAAATCAAAACCTGTACGAATCTAAATCTGGAGGCACAAGCCCCTGGATTTTATCTTGGCGCAACCGTCCCCTATACCATTGAATGCCTCTCAAGGGGACTAACTTTCCCTTGCACTTCCCCTCAAGGTTTGGTGAGAGATGGTGAGAGAAAATGAGTCCAATGAACAATCAAGGGAATGGAACTTGAGAACTGGGACCCTGAGCAATTGTGGTTTATGTCGTCTTGTGTGCTCAGTGTCCAGGGTTCCGTCAGGGTTTCGGACACAGGGTTTAGACTTGGCAGTCTGCCCAACCTATTATCTCTCTCACATATGACCGATTGTGCACTACTTCAGGGAAACATTTGCTAAAGTACCGCTGAGCAACACACGACTCTTCCCATGGGATGGGCAAAATCGGAGCCCAAATTTGTGGAGTTTTTCTGGATAGCAACAGGTCAAAACCGAAATTCGTGCAGGCTGCGCGAACTAAGCTAAAACTCAGAAATCATACTCTAAGGATTAAAAAAGCGTGAAGCGCAGGGTCAAGGCACCCTGCGCAACAACATGCAAGCATGAAGGTGGACTCAACACGGTGCCGAAGAAGTCACGCCAACAGCAGATTACACGGCGCATGATGCTATCCCTTCAAGCGAAGTTGAGGTTGTTTAGTCTGTCCTGTGTGCCGCGCATCCTCATCTGCGACCATCCGCCACACGTGCTGCGGATGGACCTAGGTTCAACAGTTGCGGGGACAAGTACAGTGCCATGCTGGAGTTTCGCTCCAACCTGAGTTCCAAGCCCAGCTTGGCGTTTGCCCATCCCTCCATGAGATGAGGTAGCAGCCCTGGCTGTTATGATTAGCACAAGTGGCCAGGCAAGAAAAGACGACAGATCATGTCCCCAAACACGCCAGCTTTTTCAGACTCTCAGTTCATGCGTTTCAAAGCCCATGCAAAATAGCCCTTTCTAGTCTAGCCGCGTGATATCAACCTTCGGATCTTCACTTTCACGCCTGGGTACGCCAACCAAGTCAAGTCTGCCAACTTGCACCTCCTGTGACGTGGAATCCTTTGACGTGGTTTCTGGGTCTGGCTGAATGGCTTCTGCCTCGCCACACAGACGGACATCTACCAGCTTGTTCTGGCTGTCATAACAGAAGACAGTGGAGGCCTTGCTGGAATCTGCTGGTGCTGGTGCGGATGTAGCAGGAGTACCTAGGCACTACGTAGATACCGCGGTGCCTAACTCACTTTTGCACGGGCTCCCCTCCGTTTTACATTGACAGGCCCCCAATACATGTAAACTCAAGATACATCAAGGTTGCTTACCCCCCAATGAATATCCCGCTGGATGTCTCAAACTTGTTCTCTCTTATCTCCATCTGCTGGCACGTTGCTTGCACGCTGCTTGCACTCACAAGCACTCACATTTTGCTGGAAACAAGGAGCACGCACAAAGATCACAAACGGCAGATAAGTTCTTCCATTGTTGTATAGCAGATCTGGAAGTTCTCCAGAACAGCGCGAAAAATTCAAAATCGAGGGGCCTGGCTGACTAATTCCCACGTCTCCGGGCCCGAAATTAATATTCGAGAAACGATGTATGGGCCCTGCCGTTTTACACTATCAGGCGAGGTGCTACGTATATGCTGATTCGACGAAAACAGGGTCAAATCGCACTGAAGTACTTTGAGAAACGTGCTTTCAGCAGCCGCTGCTTCTCCGGCATCGCCTGGCAGAGCTATCTGATAAGCTACTGACTTTTTAACTTGTCAAGCCCTTGCCTCCGACTTCTGTTTGCGCTGCCTTTTTCACGCGACAGCTGTGTGTACGCTTCATGCCAAAGTTAAGGATCGCATGCGCCTCGCCCGAGTCACCGCTTCCACCACCTTGGTATGTTTTCCAAGCGAGGGTTGACAAACCAGCCTTCTGACAGCTTGCAGGAGACGTAAACCTCACCTTCTTTCAAAGCATAAATCCCATTTGCAGAAGGCGCCATGGTTTGTGGAGAATGTGGAGACAGGGTTTGGCCCCTAACCTGTTACATATGGTGTCCGCCCACGCATATTCAACTTCCCAGTCAGCCAGCGCCAAGAATGTTAACCGAAATGCCACTCTCAATGCCAGAAGAACTAATGCATGTCGCCTTCAAAGGTTCCCCATACTACCAGTTTCTAGAGCATTGACTTAGTGCCTCACCTTTTGCACGCAAGGGGTTATCCGGAGCTTTCTAATCGGCGCAAGCGATGTAGGGACCCTGCGACATCGAGTACTAAACTTGCAAACCGATTTTGCGACGCAGGGCAAAAACGTAATCATGTACACACGAGCTACGATGCCCAGCAGGGCTCATGCATGTAAAATCTTCATTCGCCTAATTTACTTCAAAGCGCCATCGGGCCAGCACGCGCGGGTGCCAAAGTCCAGGTGCTGCAGGACCAGAATAGGCAGTGATTTCCAGGTTTTGGTGTAGATGTCAGCGTTCGCGATCACACCGTGAGCAAGGCTGCATTGACATCCTTTTCTCCCAGCAGTTGCAGCAGTTCCCAGGCCTCGAAATGCGCTGATAGCCATTGCGTGGCAGAGTCGGTCAAAACCGCGCCGCCATCTGTGTCGAATTCTGTCGAGCTGTGACATGCTGTGACTGGCCTGTGGTCTGCCTTGTTTCTGGCCCTTGGCCCTTGTAAAACTGAAAGGATGGATGCCCGAGGCTTGTGTGTCTATGCAGCCGTGCAAATCTACGCGGGAGGTGTCTTCAGTTCATCACATTGCATCCCATCGCAATGTCCTGAAAGTTGAAGACCAAGCACCAACGAGGGTGGCTAAAAAGCTTCTGAAACATTGACCAAGTTCTCAGCCACCCGCGTGCAGCGTCGCAAGAACGACCTTGCAAGCTCGCTGAGGCCGGCACTGCCAGTGTCATTCCACTGTTGTGCCCCATCCGCAAGCTCTTTGAGGACATCTGCGCCATTCGGGAAGGACTGGCCGATGAACGACGCATGAAAGGCATGGCCCATTGCGGCCTCTAGCAAATCAGTCTTTTGCAGACTGGTGCGGCCGATCTAGTGGAATGGCAACCTGTTACCAGCCAGCCCATGCTCAAGGAGCGTTGCCTCATAGTCCAGCGCCAGATACTTCACGTGTGGCCGCAGCAAGTGCTGGGAGAAGAAGCGCTTCTCTGGCTTATCCTAGCGGACTGAGCCAGCCTCACGCCATACCTCACAACTTGAAGGATGTCCTTTGCCAAGGCCGGGCAGGCAGCAACATCTGTTGCCATGCCTGGCAGAAACTTCATGGATACTTCCCGATTTGCGGAAGTGGTTCGACTGTTGTCACCAGTCGATTCTCTGGAAAGTCAATTGTAAGGTGAGTGCTCCTAGCCGGGCTATTTTGAGCCAAGAGGGGCTTGAGCGATTAATGCCGCACCAGCAGTACTGTAAGTTATCTCATCGGGACGCACATGCTCGGACTCCAATGCTATACAAGCCCACTGAGAAAATCTGCGGCATTTCTCTCTGACTGAATTCTGACAACTCAGGCCAAAGCTTGAACCTGCAACGGCCATTGCCAGTGCCTCATAAGCCAGCTGTGTGCGTGTGTGCATCTGCCAAGCAGCATCATATGTAATTTACATTATCCTTATGCAAGTTGATGTGGGGATGCGCGTGGAGATGCACGTAGTTCTGCCCATGTGGGCTCAATTCTTTGATTCTGCTGACTGCTGACCCCAATCTGAAGCCTGGTAAGGACTAACAAAACCACTTCCAGTGAGACTGAGCTGTGTGCGTTCCTGGGTGGTGGCAGGGGCTTCGAATTCAGGCTGTCAGGCGCGGACTTCGGGAGCTGCACCTAAGAAGAAAGCAATGACTTGGTCACTTTAGAATGGCTTGTACTATAAGCATGCTGGAGGCATGACCTCAGCCTGGGTCAGTGACCACCCTCCCCTCGTCCCACTGCTCTTGTCCCTCTGACTCAGTGCGAATTGCCCACACGAGGTCGTTGGATGCCTCATCGAAGCACGGCTAGTTGCACACATGCTGCAGTGAGAGCTCTGTGCTCTGCACTCACATGTGCAGCATTGTTGGAAAAGAGTGCGCTTTCCGTAGCTGCGCCTGCCCAGTCTCGCCACAGCCCAGTCCCAAGAGTCGCTGCGTAAGCTCCTGGGGCGCATGTTGCACTCTTGCAGCGATTTTTTGACATGAGGGCCGGCCGAGGCTGAAGCTGTAGTCAGTTGCAACAGTGCGCGTCTGGCCTAGGCACGTCTGCTGTGGCGAGCTTCTGAACGCTGGATAGTCACTTGCTGCAGCTTGTGCTCTGCACGAGGAATGTGCCTGGCGCTTTTGGTTTTCCGCACCAGGCTGCTGTCGCTGCGCTGTGACCTCTCTCACCAGCGCCAAGGAAGAATGAAGGTGACGTAAATCTGCTTGACTAGGAGTAGTTTAGCGGCGCAGCACTGACACCGTTTCCTGAAGCAGCTCTGTTGCATGAGGCTTGGGATGCTTGAAAAGATCCTGTGAGCAGTCCGGCATCTTTTTTCCGTCCAAACATCGCGCATATCTGCTTTCGACGGCCTTCCTCTTCAAGTCTTCACCGGGTTTAATTCACAAGCGGCTGGTCTTAGCACTGGACAGTGCATTGACAAAAGACATCGTGGCCTTCAGGGCAGCCTCTTCAGGACTTCGTACCCACCACGGCAGTGGGGTCACACTCAGGCTGCCTCAAGTTGTGCATGGGCATGCGATGCGATCCAAGACGGGTCTCTCTCCTTCTTGTCCTGTTCTCTTGAGTCATGTCCATGGAGCCTGTCCAGCGGTATTGCCTCTTGCTGGTTTGGCACAGCTTCAGTCTCTCACTCACACAAGTCGCAGCCTGCACTTGCAAGCAAAGCCTGAAAAGTCCGCAGGTCCCCAATGGGTAACCTAGACAAGCCAAGTTGCAGATACTGACCCTGCTCATGCTTGGCTTTCCTGTCAAAAAGCATCGAAATCTAAATTCCCGTGAACATGGAAACCCAAGAAGAGCTGGCAGCACCGTCTATTAGCATAATGAAGCCAAGCGTCTTGCTCAGCTCTTGGCTAGTCCTGACCACCTCCTCCAAGGGAAGCACGTCGAAAGCCAAGCTGTCCACCTTGGCTTCATGGCGCAGAAGGGCAGATTAGGACATGGTCAGCTTGCCGCCTCGGGAAAACCTCTATACATACCACCCACTTGCTGTCAGCAAGCCCTGTGCTTCCCGGCATAGAGGGCCATGGCTGAAGCAAGAGCCTGGGTAACAGCTTGGCGTCAGAAGGAGCCGTGGCAAGACGCCCGGGACCGTTTGGGCAGTGCCAAGGAACCACTAAAGGAGGGCCCAGCCATTTGCCACTTGAGCTCAGCATCTGTAGCACCCCCGTCATGAGCAGCACGTACATCAGGATCACCTCGTTTCTTTCGTGGGAGGTACCGCAAACCTTTCTCTATATTTGTCTGCTGGCAAAGCTGGGGCGCCATGAAAAGGTAGTTTATCCCGTGGACCCACAGAACTCCGCCAGTGTCTGGCTTCTTGGACTCTGCATGCACCACCTTGGCAACGAAGCATTATGGAGAGTCACTGCCTGAGGTGCTCTACGTCACTGCACATTTAAACTTGCCTGCTGCCTCTCTCAAGTACAAAAGAACCCTTAAACCATCCACACGCCAAGATGTGCTCCGTCGGAATCCACCACGGGCACATTTTCTCCATGACACTTTATGGCAGGCTTGCTGGTTACGCATATGCTCGGGGCACAAGGTAACTTTGGAAGCAAAATGATAATGCAATAGACAGAAAGAGCGTGGCAAACAAGAAGATCTTCTGGATAGTCTTCGTACAGTAACATTCTGTTACGACTTTCCCCGGACTTCCTGGCTTTCCAGCAACCTCTCCTCAGCCTCTCTTGCAAGAAGTCATGAAGCCCAATTCATGAAGAGCACTGCTGGGATGCAATGTTCAAACCCTGAGCGTGGCAGCCAAGCGTCCAAGTACGTATAGCTCGCATGCGACAGGCTAAGCGATATGAACGAGAAGATCAGAATGAGCGGTGAACACGAGCAGAACCTGTCGGTTTGTCGGTCTGCTGTTGAAATGCAAAAATGACTCCAAGCTTGCGCCCGCTGCCGCCAAGCCGCGCAAAAGTGATGGCAGAGATCAGCAATGAGGAGGCCATGCGGGCTCCAAGTCCTGCTTGCTGCAGGCATGGCTCAAATCAGCCCCAGTGAATCTAGAATGTGCGTGCAAGCCAGCAGGGCTGTCCATAGCTCCCTGGATCTTCAGGTTCGCTGTACTCTTTCGCCTCCTGGCAGCAACATCCGAAGGTATCCTGTTGGCCTTTCCTCGCAGTTGACTTGTTTCCCTTCACCGGCCTTCTCTGACATGGAGAAAAACAATCTGAAGAGGTGGAACCTCATGCAGCAAGTGAAACTGCCGGAAAGAAACAAGGACAAGCTGGGAATGCTAGAAAAACACTACACGCAGAAGGCTCCTCAAGTCGTCATGTTGTGCCCTGCGTTCCAAACTGGGACAGCATTGATGCTGGCTTCTCTTGGGACAATGCGGGCGTAGCACCCTGTCCTGTTCTGTGTTGACCCCACCGACTGTCTGGCTCTGGCTGTGGTGCAGGGACTGATCAGAGAAGGCCAAATAGAAATGCTGGCTGCAACGTTTGCTGGTATTAGCTCGCATTTCCAAATCTAGAAAGGACTCACAGGCCCAGATTCAGGCATGACCATTGAGTCCAAATTTCCCACATCAAAGCACAGACGAGTGGCTTCCAGAAGTTCGCATTTCTGACCAGCTCCATGAATGGCACCTTGCACACAAGGGCCAAGAGGGAACGCAGGAGCCAGGTCTTGAGGCGAAGCACAATCCAGCCAAGGACAATGTAGTTGAAGTAGAAATGCGAGGCCTTGGCTTGAGGAGCCCTTCCCAGAAAAAAGTGCATGCACCGGTCTTGCGACTGAAGCAGAACATGATATGGATAGACAGCTGTTGTGTTTGACATGTTGTCCCGTCTGAAATGTCAATCGCTGTGAATTGGCTGGAACAAGACCGCCCAATGTTTGCGCGGGGGCTGCGTAACCGAGCGGACGGAACGGAACGGGAACACCCTGGCAACTGGCCACTGGGATCCCGGCGGAAGGCAAGAAATCGGCTAAGATTCTGAAGATGCGCCCAGGCTTCTGGGCTACGCTGACCTACAGCCAGCTCTCAGACGCATGGTGGCTTCATAATCTTCGTGGGCTTCGCACGCCAGTCTAAGGCAGGTGCCAGAGTAAGAGTCACTCCGCGGCTGAGCGAGGTCACCAGCCTTTCTGGCACTGTCACTACTGTCGTCACTGTTACATAGATGTCAGCTTGGAGCAGCTCTGGGCAAGAGCAGCAACAGAAGCATGCGGTCAGCATTGACGCAAGGAGGGAACTGGTTAGCCCAAGTTATCTTTCAGCCAGCTTCAATTCTGAAATAACGCCAGGAAGCAGCACAAAGGTGACCTGAAACACATAGTTTGATGTGCTTGATGCTCGCAAATTCCCGAAAACATGCGAGCCAATCTTCCGCGAAACTGCAGCCAAGACGCCAAAAAGAGGCCATACCATTTCCTGACTTTCTGCATCCACTCCGCACTTGGTAGGGATGTCATTCTGCTGTTATGTTGGTCCCTATCCTATGGAGACTCAAGACGACCAGGCCATCAACAACGCATCTCGAAACCTTTGCGTCAAGCAGCTGCATCTGAATTTGTACCTGCCGATGTGATACTGCTTCCCATGTCAGAGTGCATCTTGGAACCCGGACACGGGCACAAATCAGTTGTGGATTCTTCGCTCAGCCAGGCCTCTGTGCCCGACTTTACACTCATGACAGTACGGATGATGATGTACATCGCCGTCGGCAAGAAGGCAAGGAAAACCTTGCAGCATTCTGGGATGAATAACATTCGATGCTGCTGCAGTGGCAACCCGCTCTGATGAGGCATGCTGATTTCTGCTTGACTGGAATTGCACTGAAGGCATCTACCCCGCCTTCAGTGCAATCGTAGCGAAGACACCTGTCAGCAGCTTGTCCTCGAATTAGGTAAACGAGGAGGACAAGGGTTTCTCTCTGTGGTTGCAGCCGGTGGCCCTCACGCGCAACAATAGAATACTCTGCTGCTCGGTGAGCCAAGGGCAGGGGACTGAAAATGGCGCTGCAGATCTCTGGGGCCTGTTGTTGGTACATTGCTGGGGGTCGTCCACCGCCCTCTCTACCGATTTGCCTTTGCGAACCTGCATAACGATGACTGCAACAAAGCATGAAGCAGGACACATAACCACCCCTCCCAAATTATCTTGGGACCTGTTCTTCAATAGGTGGGGAGGTACCAGCCCCGCTTAAGAGACCGCAGTGCTTGGCCCTTTGCATGGACTCGGCTTCATAAGGACCTTCCGCACCATCAATGAATAGTTCCCTAGGAGCTGCCAAGGATGTGCCCATTAGCTGCTTGCAAGCAAGACTCCAGCCAGGTATGTCTCTGCACGATTTCCTGTGAGATGCGAGAGATAGACTCATATCACCAGTCTGCCAGCCAGGCTGATGCTGGAAGCTGAGGAGGTTGGGAGAGTCACAGGGATATGGTGAACTCCAGGCATCAACATGAGCAGCAAGTTTGCATAAGTTTGCCGCACCGTGGTATGTCACATTGCATTTTCTCACTCCTGTTGCCAACTGCTCAGAGACTCACTGAAATTGGAAGCCCGGGACAGTACAGGTCTTTTATGATATGGCTACTGATCAAAACCACGTGCCCTGAGTGCACGTTCCTATGC